ATAATTTTCACTTTTCCAAATAAGGTAACTTGTTTTAGGATAGAAAAACACCTGTTTTAAATATAGGTAATAATCTCGCTTAAAGACAATCTGGAGCTCAGAGCTAAATGCTCGAAACAAGGTCAAAACCACCAATACTTTTGCTGTGTCAGTCCTCTCCTATTCCTTTGGAGTAGTTGACTGGACGAAACAAGACATCCAGAGACTTGACCGCCTGACCAGAAGGATCATGTCTGATAACAGAGCCCACCACCCTCGTTCCTCTCTTAACCGTTTATACATGCCAATCAATTCTGGAGGTCGGGGTTTGATTAATGTGGAGGCTCTTCATGATAGAATTTTATTGTGTACTTTTGCACATATAAATTTATCAGATGATCCTCTGGTGATGCATGTGAAGACTCATGATGAAATCAAGGAATTCCACAGCTATTTTAAGCGTGCCAAGGTTGTTGGACAGAATCTGAAATTTGAGGTTGATTTTGTTAATGGCGATGTACTGCTGGACGGTACAGTGATGGGAGTAAACCAGGTGAAGTCCTTCACCAAGTCTGCCCAGAGTCGGTCTTTTGTGGAGAAGCTTTCTGAGAAGCCATTGCATCGTGTGTACATGCAGTGTGTGGAACAGAATAGCAATCCCACAGACTCCTTCACCTGGATGAAGTCGGCTGGTCTTAAATGTGAAACTGAGGGCTTCCTTTTTGCTGCTCAGGACCAGTCACTTCCCACTCGCAATCGCCTAAATGTGATTCTTAAAGAGAATATTAACATGAAATGTCGACTTTGCGATGAATTCACAGAGACTGTCCAACACCTCGTCAGTGGATGCCCTTCCTTGGCACAAACAGCATATCTTAAACGACATGATGGCATGGCTCGCTGCTTTTACTACCGTCTCCGACATGCCTGTGGCTTTGACTCTGAGGTCCATCCATGGTACGACCCTGAACATGTCCAGGGCGTCATGGAAAATGATGCTTTCAAACTTCTGTGGAATAGGCCCATATACAGCCTCAGAAGAATTCCTGCCAACAAACCTGATCTTGTCCTTTTTGATAAAGCCAATGGATATATTTATATCATAGAATTTTCTGTCCCTTTTGACAGGAATGTGTTTGGCAAGATTAAGGAAAAGCATGATAAATATGCGGACCTCGCCTTTGAAATGTCTCGCTTGCATCCAAAGTACACTGTCGTCAGGCTCCCCATTGTTCTCGGTGCCCTTGGTTTGGTACCTCCTGATCTCTTGGCGCAGATCAAGAGAGTGCCTGGGTTCTCCACCGGGAGTACAGCCCTTCTGACACTCTGGGTAATGCAGAAGGCTGCAGTGTTGGGGAGCCTTCATATTCTCCGGAAAGTTCTTGGTGGGTTAGACTAGGCAGCGTTTCCTGGGAGAAGTCCCATTCGCTGTCTGGGCTGCGTGTAGAGGGGGCAAGGGCCCTGAGCTGATGATGAGCCTTACCAGCCTGACTGTGCCAGGATCACCCGAACCCTCTCTGCTGCATATTATCTTTAATCTGTAAAACATATAATAATAATAATAATAATAATAATAATATGAGGGCTTCCTTTTTGCTGCTCAGGACCAGTCACTTCCCACTCGTAATCGCCTAAATGTGATTCTTAAAGAGAATATTAACATGAAATGTCGACTTTGCGATGAATTCACAGAGACTGTCCAACACCTCGTCAGTGGATGCCCTTCCTTGGCACAAACAGCATATCTTAAACGACATGATGGCATGGCTCGCTGCTTTTACTACCGTCTCCGACATGCCTGTGGCTTTGACTCTGAGGTCCATCCATGGTACGACCCTGAACATGTCCAGGGCGTCATGGAAAATGATGCTTTCAAACTTCTGTGGAATAGGCCCATATACAGCCTCAGAAGAATTCCTGCCAACAAACCTGATCTTGTCCTTTTTGATAAAGCCAATGAATTTATATATATCATTGAATTTTCTGTCCCTTTTGACAGGAATGTGATTGCCAAGATCAAGGAAAAGCATGATAAATATGCGGACCTCGCCTTTGAAATGTCTCGCTTGCATCCCAAGTACACTGTCGTCAGGCTCCCCATTGTTCTCGGTGCCCTTGGTTTGGTACCTCCTGATCTTTGGGCACAGATCAGGAGAGTGCCCGGGTTCTCCACCGGGAGTACAGCTCTTCTGACACTCTGGGTAATGCAGAAGGCTGCAGTGTTGGGGAGCCTTCATATTCTCCGGAAAGCTCTTGGTGGGTTCGACTAGGCAGCGTTTCCTGGGAGAAGTCCCATTCGCTGTCTGGGCTGCGTGTAGAGGGGGCGAGGGCCCTGAGCTGATGATGAGCCTTACCAGCCTGACTGTGCCAGGATCACCCGAACCCTCTCTGCTGCATATTATCTTTAATCTGTAAAACATAATAATGTAAACCAGGTGAAGTCCTTCACCAAGTCTGCCCAGAGTCGGTCTTTTGTGGAGAAGCTTTCTGATAAGCCATTGCATCGTGTGTACATGCAGTGTGTGGAACAGAATAGCAATCCCACAGACTCCTTCGCCTGGATGAAGTCGGCTGGACTTAAATGTGAAACTGAGGGCTTCCTTTTTGCTCCTCAGGACCAGTCACTTCCCACTCGTAATCGCCTAAATGTGATTCTTAAAGAGAATATTAACATGAAATGTCGACTTTGCAATGAATTCACAGAGACTGTCCAACACCTTGTCAGTGGATGCCCTTCCTTGGCACAAACAGCATATCTTAAACGACATGATGGCATGGCTCGCTGCTTTTACTACCGTCTCCGACATGCCTGTGGCTTTGACTCTGAGGTCCATCCATGGTACGACCCTGAACATGTCCAGGGCGTCATGGAAAATGATGCTTTCAAACTTCTGTGGAATAGGCCCATATACAGCCTCAGAAGAATTCCTGCCAACAAACCTGATCTTGTCCTTTTTTGATAAAACCAATGTATTTATATATATCATTGAATTTTCTGTCCCTTTTGACAGGAATGTGATTGCCAAGATCAAGGAAAAGCATGATAAATATGCGGACCTCGCCTTTGAAATGTCTCGCTTGCATCCCAAGTACACTGTCGTCAGGCTCCCCATTGTTCTCGGTGCCCTTGGTTTGGTACCTCCTGATCTTTTGGCACAGATCAGGAGAGTGCCCGGGTTCTCCACCGTGAGTACAGCTCTTCTGACACTCTGGGTAATGCAGAAGGCTGCAGTGTTGGGGAGCCTTCATATTCTCCGGAAAGCTCTTGGTGGGTTCGACTAGGCAGCGTTTCCTGGGAGAAGTCCCATTCGCTGTCTGAGCTGCGTGTAGAGGGGGGCAAGGGCCCTGAGCTGATGATGAGCCTTACCAGCCTGACTGTGCCAGGATCACCCGAACCCTCTCTGCTGCATATTATCTTTAATCTGTAAAACATAATTACCTTAGACTTCTGCGTAAAACAAAATACATGGCTTTAGTAACTTACTGACAGACATTTGATTAAGATCATTTGAATGAACATTTTCTATCAAAAATAAATCCAAGATATTTATACAAAATAACAGTTTTCCTTAGGTTCAACTAACTGGTTGAAATATCCAATTGGGACATTCCTTTCTATATATGGGTGTTGCCCTAACTAATACCTAGTCCAGTGTCTGACATTTGGGATGTCTAACTAATGGGACGTCTAACTAGTGAAACCTTTAACAAATACTTGAAGAGTCTTTTAGATTCTGTTACTCCAAGTCATTATGTTCTATGTCCCTTGATTAATTACCAAGCAGTGATAGCATCAATACTATCACGAAATAACCGCAATTCTCAATAATGGGTTGTCATACTGTTCCTGTTTAACGATACATTATATCCTTATAACAGTGGCACTGTATTTGATATATGCATTAAAGACAACATGAAGTACTTACAAGTATATGACGAGGACTACAATGATGAGCACCAGAATACCACACACCACAGCCAAGGCTGTCACAGTATCCTCACTGTTGCCTGAAACATATGTGAATTGCAATACGTTCAAAAATTCATGGAGTCTTAAGGACGTCAGCTTGCGTATGTTTCAGTTCACTGTTCCAGTATAAAATTAAAGGTCATGATTTGGGAGAATCCTGATTGTGGCCATCGGATGTTGGCTTTGATTATCAGTGCAAAGAATATTAGTGGTATAGCCTGTTCTGTTGGAAACACCGTAGGGACTTCCTCAAGGAATGACCATGACCACACGTACTTTTACATGGCCGCAGCCATCACTTTATTAGCAGGGGACATTACTCTGTCCTTGACATACCACTACTAGGATAACCCTACATAGCCCAATCTTTTACTCCATTAGAATTATTGTATTATAGTATTTAATATTGAGGTGGTTTTCACATTATATTCATAAGAGGCGATGTACGGGATCGGATGGTCAGCCTCGCTGACTTGGTTAACACATGTCACCGTATAGCATTTGCATAGATCGATGCTCATTTTTGTTTACGAATGTATTGTCAGGTTCAGACACGACTATTTATAGATCACCGCTATTTAGCTGGAATATTGCTTAGTGGGTTAAACAACAAACAAACATACCTGACATTCAGAGATTATCATATCTACCAGTGTATGAACACCAAAACGCAGCTGTTCAAATGAACGATATTTGCACATACCTTTCAGAAAGTTGATGTATGATCCTCGTGCAATTCATCTGCATAAGGTTTGCAGTTGGTTCCCCCAAGTTAGGGGAGAAATTCATCTTCGATGTAACCACATGTATATACATAACATAAAGTGAGTGTTTTAAGTGAGTCTAAACTTAAGATGGGTAGTATATGACTAGGTAACAACAGATTACTGTCATTCAGTTATAGTGGTTTGTACTAAAACTCTTCTGGCCAGATGTAGTTCTCACAATACCGACATGAAACTACTAAACTGCATAGAGTGTGTGTAGTTACTAGCGACAGACCAATATCGTGTGTACACACCGTGAATAATACCTAATTGCGTATACTTACTTGTGTCTGTTGTTGAAACTGTTGTTGATACCATCGTTGACGTGGAAGTCAACTGGGTTGCTATATTCCTTGTTGAACGAGTAGTATGTCCACGCGTAGATGTAACGGTCGTAAAGGACGCTGCAACTTGAGAATTTGTTATCAGATGAAGTTCCAAGGAGTGAGTGAGTGAGTTTAGTTTTACGCCGCTTTTAGCAATATTCCAGCAATATCATGGCGGGGGGACACCAGAAATGGACTTAACATATTGTGCCCATGTGGGGAATCGAACCCGAGTTTTCGGCGTGACGAGCGAACGCCTTAACCACTAGGCTACCCCACCGCCCCAGTTCCAAGGAAGGTAGATAATCATGTATATGGCAGTTTTGTTTCTTTCCATTTATGTATAACACGTCACAATTTAATTCTGGACTAACAAAAGTCCAGAAACTCTCCGCACTGTGGTCACTTTCTGACAAGGGATTCGACCAAATTAAACATGCAGTTGTTAGGAAGATATGCCAAGGATGAAAAAATGAAAAAAAAATTAAAAAATCGAAAACTTTAAATTTAAACTCGAAAACTTTAAATTTAAACTCATTTTGACTTAATTCAGCTACTTTAGAGCGATGTTAAAAAATCTCGCCCATGGGCGAAAAACATTTTGGTCCATGGGCGAGGATATTTACTTTTACTCAAAATACATGTTTTTCCTTGTTTTGAAGGTTGTAAATGAATGATTGTATGTTTATAAGTATCATGGCAAAAAAATTAAATTGTTAGGACTAATTTCGACTTATTTAGAGCGTTATTTAAACAATCTCGTCCATGGGCGAAAAGACATTTGGCCCATGGTCGAGAATCTTTACATTTGCTCAAAATACATGTTGTTTTTGTGTTTTGAAGGTAGCAAATGAATGAAAGTACGTTTGTAAGTATCATGATACAATCTTTTGACTTAATTCGGATAATTTAGAGCTCTATAACAAATGTATCGGCCATGGGCTAAAATATTTCTTTTTACTCAAAACTCAGTAATAAATGTCAGTCTACAATGGGCGAAACAGTTTGACCCAGTGGCAAGCTAACTTAGTTTCACAATTAATGTGTTTTGGTTTGCGAAAAAAACACTTAACAAAATTATTTCTACTATTTATGAAAACAGAATGCGAATTGCTTCATTTTATCCTATTGATCAGGGTTGGTTGAAAACAAATGTAATAAAAACATATCACTGATGAAAACGATTTGAGTGTGAGTGAGTTAATATACTCCAATATATCGTTACATCGGCAATATTTCAGCCATATTTTGACTTGAATTAATCAAACATTGATGATGAATAAATGTATAGTATATAACCTGTCGTCAAGGGACAGTGAAATATCCAGAATATCAATCAGATTTAAACCTGGCATTTAATATTTATATAATAGCACTATTTGGACAATACACAAAATGAAAACAGGTTATAGACAGCCAACAACTGAATTAAGATCACCATGGGGACTTACGGTACTTTAGCTACCTGCGAGAACCCTAGAAGGACTTACATGGTCCCTTCATACGTTGGCGATTGTGCACAAATTTAGCCATCACTTAAAAACACAAGTATCTACGGAAGCGTAGTAGGGTCTTACTATCTCCTACGTAGTACTTAATATCTCCTACGTAGGACTTAGTATCTCCTACGTATGACTTAATATCTCCTACGTAGGACTTAGTATCTCCTACGTAGGACTTGCTATCTCCTACGTAGGACTTAATATCTCCTACGTAGGACTTAATATCTCCTACGTAGGACTTAGTATCTCGACTTAAAGCCCCAGACACGCACACAATCTCCTGTTTCACTGTTTCAATCACTGTAAGAGTCTACAGTCATTCGTTTCATTTACCATTAGAGTCTACTATCATGTGTTTCCTTCACTATTAGAGTCATCTGTTCAACTTATTGTTGCACATTAGTACTGTGTTGGACCGACTGTTATACTTTACTGCCTTGCGTTCAGTTTGCTCTAGTATTACGCGTTGCAGTTAGTTCACTGTTATATGTTGCACTTTGTTACACTTTACTATTATGCATTGGATATTTCAGAGGTCGTTGCACATGAATCATAATCTGCGTGTACAGACGTGTTTAAGACTATCGGTGGCAGTGTACGTATCCCCTTATATTTATACAAATAACTATAATGACAATTCTTTGCCTTTTTGAAATTCGTATTGCTTTACGCCGCACTCAACACTTGTCCACCCCAGTCAAGTCAACCTGTAAACAATTACGAATAATTAATTACGGTTGCATCCGATCCAACCTAGCCCCATCAAGACAAGCAACAACTTGCAGAGGTCGTGTTATAACCCGAGTTTCATATCACAACCTCACCCCAACCATCCCACCCACCTCTCTCTCTCTCTCTCTCTATGTGTGTGTGTGTGTGTTTGTGTGTTTGTGTGTGTGAATAGATGTATGTACGATAGATTAAACATAACCATACCCAAACCTCCATAACTGCAATTAGAACAGGGTCCACGTCACCCTAACGTAATACACACACAATAACACTGTATAGTAACACTGCGTTAGTGTCATGAATATTCACTGACTCACATTTCGACATCTAACGTCCTGCATAGCCAAACATTTCTCAACTTAATAACCATCCTTAAAAAGGATTTATTAAGTACTACGTAGGAGATAGTATGCCCTACGTAGGAGAGAGTATGCCCTACGTAGGAGATACTAAGTCCTACGTAGGAGATACTAAGTCCTACGTAGGAGATTCTAAGTCCTACGTAGGCGATACTAAGTCCTACGTAGGAGATACTAAGCCCTACGTAGGAGATAGTGACCCCCAAAAATTTTTTCACCGTGGCCCTACTACGCTTACGAAAGTATCCTACTATTTTAAACCTGGTATATCTTAATTTACTTCAGATGTTTTGAGACTTACATACCCTCTCAAGAAGACGAAACTGTGAAACCCGTGAAGGTGCGGGTTAGAATTGGCCTTCAGTAACCCATACTCATCGTAAGAGGCGACTTACGGGATCGGGTGGTCAGGCTTCTTGGTTGACACATGTCATCGCTTCCCAATTGCGCAGATCGATGATCATGCTGTTGATCACTGGATTGTCTGGTCCAGGCCCGATTATTTACAGACCGCCGCCATATAGTTGGAATATTGCTGGGTGCGGCGTGAAACTAAACTCACTCATCCAATTGCGCAGATCGATGCTCATGCTGTTGATCACTGGATTGTCTGGTCCAGACTCGATTATTTACAGACCTCCGCCATATAGCTGGAATATTGCTGAGAGCGGCGTAAAACTAAACTCACTCGCTCCAAACTGTGAAAAAAAGGAACACCTCCAGCCACCAACAATGTCAACAAGAACATAATGGAGTCCCTGCTTCAATACATCTTCAAGACTAAACGAATTGATAAATTATTCTAGACCAATATCTGTACACAAATAATGAAATGTAACTGTAACTTCAAGGTTCCTAAGCTCGTACAATCCACAATTATTCACCTCATGTAAGAATGTCTATCTCTGATTGATTCACGTGACCTTGAACAAATTACCATGTATGCCGGTCGTACACTGCTTGGGTGGTGTAGTACAAATCATCAGGCAGAATATATCATTTATACCCCGCCCCATGGAAAAAAAACATGCATCCACAGCAGGCAGTGGACCGTGAAGCAGTGGTTCAAATCGACTGGTCAGTTCCATGTTAGTGAAATATATGATTGAATGTCAGCTTGTTTTGATGCTATATTTACATGAAGAGAGATTAAAGATATTTTTACCTAAGTTTATGTATTTATGTGGTTTTATAAAAATCTTTCTATGATGTATATTTTGACCCTCTAGATACATGTAATAGTGTCTCATAAGCCTGTTAAGGTTGGGTGTATGTAAAATTCTTTAAGGGTCACCTGCAACGTAAAACACAATTTTGCAGATTCTGATACCTTTCGGTATGGACTTACCGAAACAAAGCGTCAAAAATGCAAATTCAACTTATAAAGTTGAACAATAACGCGATGAAAAAAACCGCGCGAAATCGGAGTTCAAACGATTCACTAATTTTCCCCAGACTTTTCTGGGGAATACGGGTTTCAACAGCTGGGCTGCGCTCATAGCACGTGCGCAGTGAAATAGGTTGGCGCAACTTGGAAGCGGGCTGTCTGGTGAATACTCGGTGAAGGCTTTGGTGTGAGCTATTTTCATAATGTTTTGTTGATATCTCACAGGCGCGAGCTTTTTATATGTAATGACAGTAAATAAACTGTTTATATAATTTCATTTGTCTATTTCACCACACGTTCTTCTTACCGAGTCACTTTCTCAGTTCGATACTTAAAAGCAATGTCATTATTTAGCGTTGACAGAACTTCTAACAGTGATATAGATATGTCGCTGTCACAGACAAAGCTCAATGTCTTGTTTTATTGACACCTGTGTGTCTGCCTGCCTGTCTGCTAATGACAATATTCAATACACAACTGCGATCACTGACCACATGCAATTTGAACTTAACACCAATCAGGCTATACACCATAAACAAAACGCATTGATTTATGGCCCGAGTTCGGTCTCTGTCACATTATGTAATTACACAGACAGGCAGGTGTGATACTTGTACACATGACATATTATGATGTCTGTTGATTGCAAAATGTTATACACAAAAAATGAGCATGTATTTACAAAACCCAACATCTCTATATATACACACACAATGAGCCGTGAAGGCGGCATCTGCTAATGAACCAGCCGTTACACTTGAGTGCACACCCACCCGCTCTGACTGGGTTCGGTATCCCGGCTGCTTCGTTTCGAGGGAGGTAAACCCAAGTACAAAATATTGCACTTTCGATTTGCGATTATACGCTTATAATTTTGTTTATTTGTTTTTTCATAACCAGCAATGCATATTATATGTCATGAAGAAGTGATAATTGTGTTTTAATTATGTTTGATTTTTTGGTTGCATGTGACACTCGTTAAGATAAATTATGTGTACTATTGTGATGCGGGGTATATGGGGATTTTTGCGTCCCGTTTTATCCACGTAGCCGAAGGCGTCAGCGACAGTTTGCTACTACTTATGATAGGAATTAATTTGACGT